AGCGAAAGCTTGCCAAACCGTGTCCATGTAAAAATGTGGTCTAAAGTGCATTCTTACAAAATACAGGTGGCACTCATGGGGTTTATGGAATTAAAAGAAGGAAGGGAAAGTGAGAAAAGATAAAGGATGGAAAGCAGAAAGCAATCTGCAGTGTGCACATTGTGGGTATGCATATCCAGTGACTATCTCATGACATATGATGTTGTCTTGACTGATTCCTTTGTGTTGTCCTCTCTAGCAACCCACTGCCCTGTATATTTCTGCTTCCACAGAGCCAGACCTACCAGAATGTAGTCTCACATCCCCATTCATCCTGCTCAAACAAACAAACACTTCTCCTTGCAAACCAGTGTTTTCTCTGAAACAGTATAACTATAGAAAGCATAAATGACTGTATATATGTTAAATACTTTCAAATTGGATGTTCACAGAATAACAAATTAAATTTACTGGTGACTCCTTAACAAATTCTATGCTCTCTGAGCTGTCATACTTCCTCCAAGGCTTGTGTAGTTTTCTCTATAGTTACCTCTGTATTCATGTGAACGCATTAGAGCTTTTGCCAGATTTTACATAATTTCAACATGCCTACTGACAGCAAAGCTGAAAGATGAGTGAAACTTTTTTTGGTAAGCAATAAAAACTTAAAGCTAGTGCTTGTTACTGGGCCTTATTGCTGTAACACTGAGGCATCCTTTGAATCCCAGCTGCTCAAAGGAGCTTCAGTTAAACATTTCCACAGGCGCTGCCAAGGCCCTAACACAGACACCTCACTGCAGCATGGATACTCTCACAAAGAACTCTAAATAGTTCAACCGCCACAAAAAAAAGTTCCCACATTCACAGAAGGCACGGCCAGGCGTTCGCACAAAAACCTCTAGGTGGACATGCTCACTCACTCAGTGGCAGACACTTTACACCCACAGCTATAGCAACTGTGTTCTTTAAGTCCAAATTAAATTTATATGCTATACAATGACAGGTTAAATTGGAGAACCAAGCAACAGGGTACTGAACTTTATGATCAGCACTAGCTATATAACGTTGAGGCAAAACACCAACGGTACCTAGTGACAAAATAACTGTTGACGTCCTCAGCGTGAAAAATGGTTTGGTGAGATCACATCTCTACACAATTCCTCCTCTATGCTTGATCTTGCTTCAACCCACTTCTATATCTAAACAACTACACTTAAGCCCCTCAAGCTTAATTTAGCTGAACTATTACAAAGAACTGATTCACTGAGGTACAATAACGACATCAACAAAGCTCAGAGCGGCTGGTGCTTTGATTCAGTAACAGTTAATGTCCCAATGAATGCAGTTATCCCGAACCACTTCATAAATGTATTGCACAAATGTCAGAAATAATATTCCTTTACCTTTTTATTTCTCATCTTCAACAGAATGACATGGCAGTACTCTTCTACTGTCAGGGAAATGACTTGCAGTTCACAAAAGGCTGTTGATATGTTGATCATTTAAATTTAAGAACATAACCAACACATCAAGCAATAATGGAAAAGATTATCTCGTTCTAGTATCACAAATGTGAGAATGTGTGGCTTTTCTCTGGTATAAATCATGTTAAGGTGAATATATTTGGGAATCTGGACTGCTGGATGGAAAAACTGACAAAGTGATGTAATTTTTGCATTTTAAGAAATTGTGATTTGTCAGATTTCTTCTTTTATACAATTTTATTACCAGAAGATCAATTGACAATGAAAACTATTATTAGCTGCACCCCTAAAACAATTTTCAGATTTACATATAGAAGACTGTAAATGACGGTAAAGCAATAAACTCAGTAAAACATTTATTAAGCAGTTCTACAAGGGATTAAGAAAATAAGTCAAACACCACATGAAAAACAGGCTAAAGATTCATCACAGTTACACAAAGCAACATTTAACAAACTCCACACAGGATAAATCATCTGTGATCTAATTTCAGTTTCAAAATAAACTGCACAGCTGTCTGTATTTTTAGGAATAGCATTTAGAAATACTGCTGAGACATGCACAGAAGCAGACAGACAGAGACAGACAGAGACAGCTGTCACAAACTGATCAAACAAACAGGGTAATGAGGGAGTCATTCTGTACAGAACCAATCCCAATCCACGTCGAATCCAGGAGGAAGCCGAGCGCACAGACGTTTGTGTCTTATTTATTAATCTAGCTCCAGAATTTCAACAGTTCCCATCTTCAAAATGCGTTTAGTCTGGCCATGACAGACTACACTGGCATTTCAACATTATGACTATACATTTATGTGTGGTGTAGCAACCGATAACACACTCCTGCGGCTCACAATGGCAATATAGATGATGCAACTGTGCATACACCAATAGAGAAAACAATTGATAATGTTTCTGCAGCATGAACATTTTGGGCATTTGATAAACTTCACCTTACCATAGAGAAGGTGATATGACGTACATACTCTTGAAGAGAGGCTTACAGGATCCATACTCTCATCTCTTAAGTCTTAAGTACTAGTTTTGCTCCTCTTGTGGTCTGGTGTTTTACCAGACTGGGGCCATTTCAAGCAACTCCACCCATGTCTAGATTGGTACCACATCAAACCCCAGCTTGTGGTGTGGTCACAGTACCATGAATAGACCCTGAAGTGGCCTGCAGCACACTGCTACATGTAACCTGTACTGGCCCAACAGGATCAGCATATTCTACTCTTCAATATGATTCTGAGTGATATGATTACAGTCAGGCCTCTGTATATACTCTGTGTGACAGTGACGCAGCAGCTTAACTCTGTAATACCAGCCTTTCTCAGACGTGTACACAGTGCCACCCAGCCTGCCCAAATACAGCTTAGGAATACAAAGGTGCAACCCACAACTGATAGATAAACAATGGAACAACAGACAGAATGGTCAGCTACTCCTCCGCACTTCCTGAACAACAATAAAGTACTGTGGTCTGCCCACACCCCTCAAGACTGTGCTAACGGCACAGAGAACTACTACCGTTACTTCCCATATTGTTGCTGCTTCCTGTTCAAGACGCTTCCGGATGATAGGAGCTTCCTGTCTGAAGCTGTAAGAAAGAGGGGCACACAGTAGACTGGACACACAAGATACTGGGAACTGGTTTTAGTTATAGTCATATGTTCTTTCACTGGCTGGTCCTGCTGGTATTTGTGCATATTCCTGCAAATGGTTTACTCCTCTCCAACTGATTCAACATCACACCTTAGATCAAAAAACTTTTAATGTCTATGTGCAAGAAACTAGCCAAAACAGCTCTCATTCACTTTAACAAGTGCTGCCCCAAATAGCTATAATCAAGCTTTTATTCCACGTGCCATTTTCTGATGATGAAATGAAGACTAGAGCAGTATTTTGTAATCCTTTCAGGCTTGTGATCCTGTTCTTTCCAGCAACCACAAAGCTATCAAATTGCCAATTTTAGCATGGATAAAGTGGATGATCAAAACTAGTATATTTCAAAAATGCTCATCAACATCACAGATATGTCAAGGAAATGTCAGTTTAAGAGTCTTCTAACAGAATACTGCGATACTACTACTACTGACAGAGGAGTCCAGTATATTGCCTGCCATGTGTGAGCCATCTTCCTGCAACAAGGGAGAGCCCTGTTGGCACCAACAGTAAAAAGCCTGGTAAATGAAAACAGAGCCACCTAAAGAGCCAGTTGGACCAGTTCTCAGGTAAAATACTCTTTTAGAGGTGGGGTGTTGTTTTGCAGGTAGAGGCCCCATTTGTTCAGAGTGCAAGAGATATCAAAGACAACCTCTCCCTTGCCAACAAAGCAAAAGATTTTATATAATAGAATATATAGAAGTGGTATAATGCACTAATGTAGGACAGAGCCCGTCTCATATGGTTTCAGGTTAGGGCCATTAAATCTGCCAGCAAAACAGCACATAGCCCAGAGCCAGAGTCCAGCACCACAAACGATGATCTCATCTCCTCAAAATGTGACCCAGGAGACCTCCCCTATAGCACACACACACTTTGAGTTTTCCACCACTGTAAGATGATCAGCTTCCAGGATAAAAAATATAAGCCAAATCTTTTTTTTTTTTTTTTTTTTTTTTGACAAATTCTACACCCTAGCCCATCTTAGGAGCATGCTGCAAAACGTAGCGGGTGTTAGCAAAACACCTTCTTTTCAAATAGGCTAAACTAATAGGAACATCTTTTTAAAATAATGTGAAACAGATAAGCAACAACCTCTGCTAATGCTTAAGCCTTTTAAAGTGAAATGCATGTCTGGATGTAGTAATGCTTAAAAGGGATGGTAAATGGACTTATACTTGTACAGCGCCTTTCTATGCACTGCAGCACACTCAGCACACTCAAAGCGCTTTCACACTATTTGCCCATTCACACTCCCAAGCACAAACACACACAGGTGATATCACCAGGAGCAACCTGGGGTTCAGTGTCTTGCACAAGGACACTTCAAAACGTGGACTGGAGAAGCTGAGAATCGAACCACTAACCTTCCGGTTGGGAGATGACCCGCTCTACCGCTGCCAGCTGTTCAATAGCCAGGATGACTGACAGACTGGTCACAGATGGAATCCTAGCTCCACTTCCTCCACTAACAGGCCATTAAAGACTGAACCCGGCTCCCTGTCTGCCCATGCAACCACAGCTCTGGACTGGGATAACACACACACACTCATTTGTTTTCATTCCTTGTGGGGACTTAATATTGACTTACATTTATGTCCTAGAGACTAAGATTAACCATAACCACTACTTGCCTAATGCTAACCTTCACCCTAATCTTTACCTGACTTTAACCACGCCATCACCCTAAAATTCAGTGATTTACATAGAGGAGAGCAGCACCTAGTCCCCACAATGTGAGCGTGTAAACAGGTTTCAGGTCCCCATGATGTAAGTAATACCCGATGCACACACAGAGCCTTCTAGTAATGAACGATAGAATTGCTGTGTGTCTGCCACAGGGTCCAGAACTCTGCTGATGGAGGGGAAAATCTCTCCATAGTCTCCACCTTCTTCCTCCATCAGCGGTCTGGAACCAAAGACTCCAGCAGACTGACACACATCAAGGGAGCAACGCTGTACTTATTCAAATCCATCTGAAAGCAGCTAAGTCCAGTGCTGAGACAGAGGGTATGTAGACAATCGGGACAGGACAGATTGTAGATGAATACACCATGCCTGCAAGTTAATGTAGCTGATCACCCAGTATTCAAGCCATTCATGTTCAAGCCAAAAGCTCTGGGCCAATTCCCATTAAATGTCTGTTTCATTTGGTTCTATTCCATAGCACTGTATGTTCCAAAAACTTACTTTCACAGAAAGATCAGTGGTTTTTACTTTTCAGCACTGTTTTGTACTTTGAATAAACCACATTCCACATACAGCTTTTCTTGGAAAAGGTCTATTTTTAGCCAAATTACTGTGAAATAAAGCCTAAAAAATGTGTAGAGGAGATTTACTTCCAGATTAGGAGTGAGACTAATTAGTTCCCCATTCCACAGAAGGCTATACAACTGAAAGCCAGTATTGGGCTTTCTGCTTTTTGTTATTTAGGTGACTGTGCAGAGGTGGGGGATACCAGCCTGACATTTACTCTGTCGCCTCAGGCAGTCTTTCATTTGATCCTTTCCATCATTAATCACCCTTTCATATATGTCAAATCACAAAAATGCATTCAGGTTACACTGCTCACAGGGAGCAGTTTGAAGCCTCCACTTCACAGTATTATGTAGGACAACACATGCGATGGGCTGCTGCCTAGAGTGGAGAGGGAGTCATGAGAATGGTGAAAATGACTTCACAATAATAACCCTGCTGTCTTACCAGAGGTAAATTCTTCCATATGTGAAAGTGGAAGAGACCCTGTTTCTTATTACAGGAATGGAAAAATAAACAAAATTAAGTCAATTCTGTTCTTTGCCACGTAGCTCAGGCTTTAAACTCAAGCAAAGCACAGTGTAATAACTTTTCATGGTGCAGCAGTTTTTTGTTAAGCTATCTAAAAGATGTATGTATCTCTTTTGTCACCAAACACATACAGCCGGAGTTTGCAATAAACCCTGGGTATCCCACTCCCTGCAGCATAAAGATGCCCTCCATGGCCTAACAGACATAGGTCTTCACTCCCTGCAGCATCTGTTTCTAGAAAACCTCTTAGCATACATAGATACTCCCTCTTATGTTCATGTCAAAATTGCTGACAGGACACAAAAACTAAAATTTTGATTTGACACACTTAACATGCATTTTCAATGTTCATGCATGAGTAAGAAAAGATAGGCTGAGTTCATCTGACTAAGATGAACAGACTCTTGGTTGGTCTGTCTGTTCAGTCAGGCCAGAAAAATATGCACCCTTATTATCAAACTGTTGGCCTTGCACAAATATTCAGCACTACAGTGATAAAAAGGTAATATCATTGGAAAAAAATTATTACATTTACAGAATTCAGTGATAGACATTTCTGCACTAACTTACACAAAGCGAGTTTCACTTTGGCTGTTTTGGTTCATTCTGTTCTGTCAGTGGTTGCAGAGAACAAGTTGGTACAAGCATCTAACTTCTCAGAGAAGAGCAAGCAGGAAGATCAAAACAACAAAAGATACCAGAGTTTGGGTAAGAACAGCTCCAAGTTGTTCATACTTGTGTAGTCAAAAACAAAACAAAACCAACAGGAAATGCAGTTACACAACCAGTTAAGCAGAGACCAAGATTAGCACTTGCAACACATAATCAGAAATATCCGTTTGCTCAAAAGGTGACAGGAGTCTGTCTATAGTTCATCTGATCTAGATCCCCACCAACATTTTGAAAGGCAAGGGCTCACATGAACGGGTTAATGGAGCAACTTCCCATCCTCTTTTTCATTTCTTCTTTCTGGGTGAACCATATTTTATATTTTAAAAGTCTTTTACACTGTGCAGAGACTACCATATGTCCCAGTGGTTCCAGCCACATACAGTGGAATGAAGTCACAGCCTGAAAATGCATTTTCTCAGTGCTGTACAGGATCTGATACGGTTTTATGGTTCATAACCACAGACTTAGACATAAGTACTGTCCCATACAATAATTGCAAAATATATTTTGCCTTCTCTGCCTGTGCAGGTTTTTGCATAATGCAACAACATGAAAGGTGACTATATGACTTAATCAAACCAGCAATGCATTTCATACCAGACTGAAGGCATAAACAGTTGTATCTTCTCATCTGTGATACAAGATGATTTCCATATAACTGTTGAGACAAACAAATGGAAAGCTGAGAGATAATGAGGAACTATCAGTCTCACCTGTTTTCACTGACATAATCCATTTTCTACCCATCATCTTTTCACCAGCATTAACCCATTCCTCAAACCAGATCATGTCACTAAGCTTGGGGCCACAGCCTCAATCTGAGCCACAGTTATTCACCAATTACATTTTTAAAGGAAAATACTTCCAGATGAGCTGGTTACCTTGTGAAAATGACTGACACAGCACCAAATTATCCAGCCCTGCTGTCACAAAAGTGAGCGTCTTACCTCCAGCACTGGTCCTGCCCCCAGTATGGTCCTCTCCACCCCACTGGCATAGCCCTTCTGGCTGAGTGCGGTCAGACAGTGGATCAGGAAGTTGGTACTCTGGGTTTTGCCTGAGCCACTTTCACCAGAGATGACAATGCACTGGTTGACCCTCTTCCTGAGCATGGCATAGTAGGCCACATCTGCGATAGCAAAAATATGAGGCTCCAGTTTGCCCAGCTGGTGGTTCTCGTACATCTTGACATACTTAGGGTTGTAGATGGACAGGAACTTAAAGGGGTTGATGGCAATGAGGATGCTGCCTGCATAGGTGTATATCTTCTTCTTGGAAAAGCGTGTGCGCAGGTTGTTTAATATGCTGTCCTCAGTGAGGACAGGGAGGTTACAGAGGTCTGCAAAGTCATCTTGTGGACGGGGAAGGAAGCCCCTCTCAGCTAGTCGCTGTGACTCCTGCTCCTTGATCACAGGAGGGAGGTGGACATAATGGATAGTGCCGTCATGGTTCCTCTCCTGGAAGACAGAAAGAAAAAAAAAAAGACTGTAAAACCATTTGATGCTGAAAATAAGGCGTATCTTCCTAAAATAGTTAAAATATTCTTGGAATTTCTTAAAACCAGTCACAATTGTTTAGGGCAGACCCAAATGGCATTGATAGTGGTGTTTGTTAAAAGCACTGTGCTTAGAGAACTAGGCAGCATTCTGTATGTTTTTGTAATATTTCCCAGCCTTCGTGTGTACTCTTGTTACCTAGCTTGACAACTTGTTTTTGTTTCTCACTGTAAATAGTAACAGAGGAGAGAGAAGAAGGAAGCAGAATGTAATAATCAGACAGCAGAACTAACCACATCTACTAGGTCTGACAGCAAAGAGAACTGTGCTGCCAGGTTTACCTGTAGTAAGAAGTAAAAGCCAAGGCTCTGATGGTGTTTCTCCTGGGCTTTCCGAGGCCACAGCAGGAACCTCTGCACTGGCAGATCTCCGGCTTCCAGCACCCACTCCTCCCCTCCACACTCCTTCACCTCTGCCAGCACATACAGGCGGCCAGGGTCCAGCCCCAGTTCCGAGGCAGCGTCTGAGATCACGGAGGCCGCTGTGGCATCCTTCTGCACCCTGATGAGTATTTACCGATTTTGATCAGTGACATACAGTAGTTCCTTTCTTATGACACAATACAAAAATATAGATTAAAATGCACAAGTCCTTTTCAGCAACACCATAGCTAAAATTAAACAGCTAATTTCATGTTCTCTAGCAATAACACTGTGCCACACTGACCTAAGGTTGCAGCAGGTGGAGGGTTGGGCAGCCAGTCGTGGATAAATCTGGAGCCGGAATGAGCGGCCATCGTTGTCGTCCACCTGCCTTCGTTGCTATGGTGTTGGCACCATCTCTGACACTCATCCTGAGCCAGGGGGAGTGGCCTCAGCATGCCGCACCCACTGCTTCCCTCTCACCACGCAGCACCTGAAAAAGACAGGTTGGTTGATCAATGACAGCTATTTTCACATTTATAAATCCACCCTGATAACCATTATCAGCCTCGTAACTCTGCATATTGACAGTGGAATCCCATAAAGAAATGCACACATCACTTTATAGTTAAAACATTTGGACTAGAAAACAGGTCTAGGCAAGTTGCATAGGACACAGTTGCAAAAAATCATTTGTGAGGGTTATTCCTATCAAATTATGTACCTGCTTAAGCCTCTTTTAATCAGTGTTTTATCATTAAAATATATTAAAATTTTGTAGACCTGAGCAATGTGACCTGTGTGCTCCAAGTAAAATACAAACTATTCCAGTATATCTCAAGATTACCAGTCACCAATGAAATGTTTCAGAGCTATCAGAAAAGAAATCAGCAACAACTCAGACATATGCATCAGTGGGGGTGATGATTAATTAATTTAAACATTGCAGTGCATTCTCACCACATCACATTTACCACAAGGTGCAGCTGCAGATGCTGCACAGAAAGTGAACCCATCTGCTCAACGATAGAAACCAAGGCACAAAAACATAACACAGGGTAAACCACAAATGGTGTAATGATGACTGCGTGCTATTCACACTCACAGACAAGACAGCTATAGTGACGATAAGTGATGTAAAACTCAGTGGCAGGATATTGCTTCAACACAGCAATTCACCTCTCTGTCCATGATTAACTCAATTTTCTCTGCCAGGCAAAGTCCCAACAAAAGGTTGTACAACAGCACAGTGTCCTGAACAGACCATTAACTGAGAACAAAGAACAATTTAGTCCTTATTATGGATATCACCGATTTCCTTACAGGAGCTGTTACATCTTCACCTCAGTGAGCAAATCTGTCATACTGATCTGTATCTTGTCCATGAACACATGGCTCTGTTGGGTTCACTTGAGTTCAGCCTTGTATGAGCATCAGTTTTCTAAACCACCATCTACTGGTCAGTAGTTAGTGTCAGTACAAACCTATGTAGCTCTCACTGCTCTGTAATTAACACATCATTGTACAATCACACTGCTTCATACAACTGCAAGTTCACTTCGCCCCACACCCAAATTACTGACAGTGCCAGTTGCAGTGGTTACTTTGCCAGACTGGTATGATGACAGCTTTAGATCATCACCAATAAACACAAGCCTGGCCAGCGCTACTGACTACTTTAAAGTCAACTCTTTGAAGTGATGCTGAGGTATTTCAGGACCGATTCAGTGCAGCATCCAAAAAGACCACAATCACAGAAATACAATCCAGATTCTTGCTGTCTGTAACAAAACTTAATACTGAATAGTGATCTATAGCTGAATCACATAGACAGCAGCTGGGTATGGTTTGGTCAAATGATGGATCATGTAGCGTGACTCTGCATCACTAATGCATGCCATGTAAACTGCATCCCCCCTTTGGGGAAACAGGAACCTGGTTCAAATCACTGCATGGCAGGCAGACTACACTGCCTCTGTAACCTGATCTAGGGTTGAGTAGTGTAGGCACTGCAGCTTACAGTTTACCACCTTTATCATTTAAGCAGAAACATTTAAATAGGAGGGGCTCATGGTTGTCTGATGAATGAAATCAAGTTCTCCATTTCTTCATTATTAGGTTTGTTTTTACTAAACCTTTCCAATGTCAGATAATATTAATTGTGCTCATATATTTTGTGTAGTTATCATAGGCTAAGTAGCCATTTTACACATAAGCAATTTAGCTCAGAGGATAATTTCAATCAACAATATCAAGTTACATAATGGTAGAAAAGATAACATTGTCTCTTCCTCTATAGTTTAAACATGGGAATGTTTGTGAATTAAAAAATAATTATACACAACTTCCTCCAACTGTTCTATCTTTAGAAAGAATGAACCCCACCACCTAACCAACAAGATACCAAAAAAGACCAAACCACATGGTGATGCTCATAACTGGTTGTGTATATTTACCAAATATATCTGGAGTTGCCTGAATAGATCCATTTGCATTGTCAAAACCTATAGCAGATATGTTTATTCTGCATCTATGATGCATGAGCATTATCCATCTGTTTAAGTTTGTTTGTAAATATTTTTAAAAAGCAATTACAGGCATTTTTTGTTTAACACATACAAAAGGTGAAGGGACCATGATGTACAAGTAAATGTACCATAAATGTACCAAATGCAAAACTGCATTTGAAAGAAAAGCCAACTCTGGAATCATTCAGGTCACAGCAGAGAATTAGGAGGAAAAGTAGAGCAACATGAAACTGATGAGCATGCGCCTTTGCCAGGCTGGCTGACCACAGTCCCAAAACACATGCAAGTCTGTAAAATGCCAAGGCAGGCAAAACTGCAGAGACCACAAAAGACAGCATCATTATTATCCTCTATCATGGACTTCGTCTGGTTTCAATCTGTCCCTTTAACTCCTGAGCTGCTCCCTCAATTAGTTTCAAAGAGCAAACATAACTACAGTATCTGTGTGTAAGACGCTTCATCTTAATATTTGTGGGTGTGCAGCAAAAAAGGGAGAAAAATATGAACAAAGACAGAGAGAGAGATGGAAACATCTAAAAGTGAGATAGAAAAAAAGAGAGGTCCCAGGGGACGATCAAGGGAGATGAAGGCTTTGAGATAACACAGCTTCCTGTCTGCAGAGATCATCTGTGAGGATGCGCAGCATTCCACAGAAAATCCCCGGGGTTGTCTTCTCTGCATAGGCTTAGCCTGGCATGTTAGCTGCTTACTTGAGATGGGAAGACACCTGAGTGCAGGACTGCAGCTAAGGGTAAAGAGGGGCTCTTTTGTTGCTTATTGTAAGCAGGAGGCATTAACAACTAACAAGCTATAAGAAGGTACCACTCATTCCTGTTAACTTCATCCCACCGAACCTCTTGTCCAGTCAAGTAGAATAGGCCTCTGCGGTAAATTCATTCTACTGTACAATCATCAGTTAGATAGATACAAGGCTGAATTGAGTATAAGTAACATCACTTC